TAACTCATTTTGCAAGGTGAGAGGACTTACAATTTAAAAATTTAAACTAGAGATACTGTTAAGTGGTGGCAAAGTCAAAGTTTATCAGTTGTGATAAATACCCACACAAAAAGCACTAGGGGTGCTATGGTTTGAATGTTTCCTCCAAAACTCATGTTGAAATTGAATTGCCAATTTAAAGGCATTGGGAGGTGGGGCCTTTAAGAAATTATCAGGACATGAGGGCTCTGCCCTCATGAATGGATTAATAGGTTTGTTTATCTCAGGAGTGGGCTCCTGAAAAAACCTAAGTTTAACCCCTTATTCCCTCTCTTGTGTGAACCTTCTCATCATGTGCTGCCTTCCACCAGGTTACAACACACAGCAAAAAGACTCTCAACAGATAGGAGCACCATGGTCTTACTCTTCCCTGCCTCCAGAACTGTGAGAAATAAATTTCTTTTCTTTATAAATGATCCAACCTGAGGTATTCTGTTATAGCAACTCAAAACAGACTAAGACAAAAAATGGATATCAAGGAGTGGGGCTGTTTCCATAACAAACACCTAAAAATGTGGCCATAGCCTTGGAACCAGGTAATGGGTAGAGGCTGCAAGAATTTGGAGGAGGCAGCTAGAAACTCCCTAAATTGCCATGAATGATGCATCAAGGGCAATTACGGTGAGAACTCAAAAGAAGAGGGGAGCTGTAGGGAAGGTCTGAATCTTCTTTTTTTTTTCTTTTTTTTTTGGGATGGAGTTTCGCTCTTGTTACCCAGGCTGGAGTGCAGTGGCGCGATCTTGGCTCACTGCAACCTCCGCCTCCCGGGTTCAGGCAATTCTCCTGCCCCAGCCTCCTGAGTCGCTGGGATTACAGGCATGCGCCACCATGCCCAGCTAATTTTTTGTATTTTTAGTAGAGACGGGGTTTCACCATTTTGACCAGGATGGTCTCGATCTCTTGACCTCGTGATCCACCCGCCTCGGCCTCCCAAAGTGCGGGGATTACAGGCTTGAGCCACCACGCCCGGCCTTGAATCTTCTTAAAAATTACTCAAGGGAGCCAGGCACAGTGGCTCAGACCTGCAATCCCAGCACTTTGGGAGGCCGAGGCAGGCGGATCACCTGAGATCAGAGTTCAAGACCAGTTTGGCCAACATGGTGAAACGCTATCTCTACTTAAAATACAAAAATTAGCTGGGCATGGTGCCATATGCCTACAATCCCAGCTACTTGGGAGGCTGAGGCAGGAGAATCACTTGAAACTGGGAGGTGGAGGTTGCAGTGAGCCGAGATCATGCCACGGCACTCCAGCCTGGGCGACAGTGAGACTCCATCTCGAAAAAGAAACTACTCAAGTGGTCACGACCAGAATGTTAGCAGCAATTGGATACTACAGGCCATTCTGATGAGGTCTCAGACAGAAATGTAAAAGAAGGTATTAGAAAATGGAGTAAATGTTATTCTTGTTAGACAGCTGCGAAGACCTTGGCAAATTATGTCCACGTCCTAGAGCTTTATGGAGTGCAAATCTTAAGAGCAATGAACTAGGATATGCGGTGGAAGAAATCTCTAAGTAGTAAAGCGTTCAAACTGCTGTGTGGTTACTTTTAACTGCATAAAATGAGATGTGAGAGCAGAGAGATGATCAAATACAGTTGACCACTGAACACATGGGTTTGAACTCTGAGGACATACTTTATACCAAAATTTGTTCTTTTCTTTTGAAACAGGGTCTCACTCTGTCATCCAGGCTGGAGTGCAGTGGTGTGATCATGCCTCACTGCTGCCTCAACCTCTTGGGCTAAAGTGATCCTCCCACCTCAGTCCCAAGTAGCTGGGACCACAGGCACATGCCACCACACCTGGCTAATTTTTGTAGAGATGAGATTTTGCAATGTTGCCCAGGCTGGTCTCCTGTGCTCAAGTGATTCGCCCACCTCGGCCTCCCAAAGTGCTGGGATTACAGGTATGAGCCACCACACCCAGCCAAGGATTTTTTCAGTAAATACAGTTGGCCCTCCATATCACCGGGTTCCACATTCACAGCCAAATGCAATACAGTATTTGCAGGATGCAAAACCCTTGCACATGGAGGACTGACTTTTCATATCCGTGGGTTTCACAGGGCTGGAATATGCATGGATTTTGGTATGAGGGAGTGGTCCTGGAACCAATCCCTTCCCACACCGCTCACCCTCGGCAGATACTGAGGGATAACTATATGGTTAAAAGAGAAGCAAAAGAGAAAAATTTAGAAAATTCTTGCATGGCCATGTAAGGAGTGGAGAAGTATGTTCAAGAGGGAATATTAAGTGCATGGTCAAACAACCTATTGCTCAAGCATGGGTAGAAGGAAGCCAGGTGCTATCAATCAAGACAATGGAAGAAAGACCTCAAAGGCATTTCAGAGATCACTAGACTGCCCCTCCCATCACAGACCCAGAGCTCTAGAATGGTAGGCTGGTTTCAGGAGATGGATAGCATTCTTTGGCCTCCCCAGCCATGACTCAAACAGCTTCAGGCATGGCTCCAGAATGCAAGTCCTGCAGGGCATGGCTTCTTCCACCTAGATATCAAAGAATGCCAGGGACTGCTTGGATGCCCAGACAGAGACCTATTGCAGGATAGAGCCACGGCAGACAGCCCCCATTAGGACAATGCCCAGTGGAACTGTGGGGTCAAGGCTGCCACACAGTCCCCACTAGGGCAATGCCTAGTGGAGCCATGGAAGTGGGACACTGTCAACACCCCAGAACTGTAAATCCACCAGTATACAACTCCAACCCATGAGAGCTGCTGAGTGGACTGAGCCAGCAAAGTCACAGGGGGTGGGGCTTCTGAGGCCCTGGGAGCCCAACTCCCATCCCAGTGTGCCCAGGAGGCAGAATGTGGGGTAGATGGAGATATTCTCCATCTTTATGACTTAATGTTTCCCCTGTTGTATTTTGGACTTATCAGGGACCACTTACTCCTTTCTTCTGGCCTATTTCTTCTTTTGGAATGGTAATGTCCATCAAACTCCTTCCTACCATAGCATTTCGGAAGTAGATGACCTGCATTGACTTTCACAGGCTCACAGCTGAAGAGAATTTGTCCCAGAATGAATTGTACCTTATAAATCTCACCCATGTCTGATTCAGATTGGACTTTTGAGTTGATGCTAGACCAAGTTAAGACTCTGGGGACTACTAGGATAGAATGAATGTATTCTGTATATGAGAAGGACAGGAGTTGTTTTTTGTGGGGAGGTGGGTAGGGGCAGAATGCTAAGGTTTGAATGTCCCCTCCATTCAATTGAATGGAGGGGACATTCAATTTTAATTTTAATTAAATTTAATTTTAGTTGAAATTTAATTGGCATTGTCATGTAATGGAAGATGGAGGCTTTAAGAGGTCATTAGGTCATAAGGGCTCTGCCCTCATGAATGAATGAACGAACGCTCTTATGAGAGAAGTGGGCTCTAGATAGAACAATGGGCTCCTGATAAAAGAGTAAGTTCAGCTCCCATTCCCTCTCAGAGGCATGTACTTCCTCCCCATGTGATGCCTTCTGCCAGGGACAGTGCAGCAAGAAAGCCCTCATCAGATGCTAACACCATGCTCTTGGACTTTCCAGCCTCTAGAACTGGTGAGAAATAAATTTCTTTTCTTTATAAATGGCCCAGTTCAAAATATTCTGTTGTAGCAGCAGAAAACAGACTAAGAAAAGGGCTAACTTTTGTGGGTTGAAAGTAGATTCTAGAGAAATTAACAAGCCTAGGTTATGAAACTCTACACTACCCTCTCTCCAGTGTAGAGAGGGTTATGAAAACTAGGAAACTCAAAAAGCCTGGAAGGCAATAAAAGAAAACCCTGGGGCTGTAGTACCTAATATCAGCCACACCTCCTGTCAATTCTTTCTCCTCAATTCACTCTATTATGAATGGTGCCTCCCTCTTCCATCCCACTGCTATTATTGCTTAAATTTAGGCCTTCAACATCCCTTAGTCCAGTTATTCTAATGATCTCTGGTTTGTAGTCACAACTCTCTTCCATGCCCCAGCACCTAATCTTTCCTATGCTGCTAATGGAATAATCTTTCTGAGAGATAAATGTGATATTACACCCCTACTTAACAACTCTTCAGTGCTTCAAAAAGCCAACAAATTCCAGTTCCACCATCTTTATGCAAAATCAAAGGCTATCTACCCCAGGATTTCCTCTGCAACCTCTGCCTGCAGGCTCAGAAAAATACTAAGATAACTCATTCCCCTTTCACTCTGTTTACACTATCCCTCTGCTGGGAAAAAAAAAAAAAAAAATCTACCTTCCCTATCCCCATTCATCCACGTGAGGATCATTTATCTATTCATCACTTTCTATACAGTTCTTCCAACCCCTCCTCCTACCAACAGAATAGATAATTTTCCCCTTTGTGTCCTCAGAGTACCACGTATATAGTGATTCTTTTATAGTGTCAGTAACAGTGTCTTCCTATTTACAAATAACGTTGAAATAAACCTTGCATCTTTAGGCAGAAATCCAGAATGGAACTGCTGGATCAGAAAGTATATATAATGCTAACTGCTCTCCAAAGGTTGCTCATTTTATACTTTCAACAATATTTGTTTCCTACACATTCAATAAAGGATTTTCCGATGTTCTTTCTCTGTTAATCTGATAAGTGAAAAATAATAACTCATAGTTTTATTTTGTGTGTCCTGCGGTGAATGAAAGAACATCTGATTGAAGAGGAGTTATACTCAGGATGACTTATGGAAACAAAAGGGATGAGGCAATAACAGAAATTTGGGGAAGATTTGCTTCAAATCAGTGGTTCTCATGATGGTGATCCGGAGACAGAAGAAATAAGAGGCCTCACCACAATGGGTTCCTATCATGTTGCCAAATTGTAATATTAAATAAATGACAGAAAGTTTAGACAATAAGGCATTTTCCAATCGGTAAGAAGTTAAGAGAGTGTGCAAGACCTTAACTGACAATTCCCAGAAATCCAGTTTACTCACAGCTTCAACTCACCATCGAGGAGCCAGTGCTGGCCACGCCTGTTCTCCAACTCGGACATCATTAGGCGTGTGATCACATGGTCTGGAACCAAAAGACTTTTCTCTATGTATTGCTTTGCCATCTCACCAACTTCTATTAAAAAGACAAGAAATAAAGAGGTATTCAAGAAAGCTTCCCAAACAAAAAGCTCACCAACTCTGACAGTTTTGCCTTCTCTCCATCCTTCTTGATATGGAAGGAAATTTTTAGGTAGTTGTAGGTATGTTTTTAGTTTTTAAAATATTCACCTCAGTAAGTGGGACTGTTGCTTATTTAACACATTTATCTCCCCAAAAATTATAAAAGCAGCTCTTTGAGACAGCATAACACCCCCCACACACACATACACACCAAAAAAAGGAAGAAAGAGTGTCCAGGTATGGTGGCTCATGCCTGTAATTCCAGTACTTTGGGAGGATGAGGTGGGAGGATCACTTGAGCCCAGGAGTTTGAGCTTGCAGTGAGCTCAAGCTTACTGATTGTGCTACTGCCTCCCAGCCTGGGCAACAGGAGGAGACCCTGTCTCCAAAAAAGGAAAATACATAAACTGGGCAAGAAAAAAATAAGAGTAGAAAATAAAGTCAAGAAGAAGGATGATACATGAAAGACTGATAAAGAGAAACCCTGGATACTTCCTAGAGGTAAGCCACAAATTGGGCACTGTGCCTCTCAACAGTTTATGGTAACAAGAAACGTAATCAACCACACAATGTACAGAAGACTAAAGGAAGATGAGAAGCACAATCATTCCTTAGAGAGACCAAAGGAAACAAGTTCCAGTGGTCTAAAAAGAATGTCACATAATACAAACAACAACAGCTTTATGTCTTTTCATGAACTTCAATATAAGAAGATGGCACCTTGCTGACACAGCTGTAAAAGCAACTCAGAGTTATTAGTGGAATACCAAGTTCATAAAAGGATGTGAAGTTTTAACAAAACCACACAAATACTTTCGGGGAAAACTGCTTCTATCTTCATTTAAAATACTAATTTCCTATATGTAGAAATTGTGAGTTGCATTTAGTAAAACAAACTATCAGTTTAAATCTGTACATTTCCAAGAACTAAATTTGTGTTTTATTTTTTTTTTAACCACAAGTGAAATCCTCTGCTCTTGGGGTAACTGATAATGAACCCTGAAGAATCACATTCTAGACAGACCAATTCAGTTCTTTTAAAACACAAAGATCCAGGTATGATGGCTCATGCCTGTAATCCCAACACTTTGGGAGCTTGAGGATCACCTGGGATTATGAGTTTGAGATCAGCCTGGCCAACGTGGTGAAACTCTGTCTCTACTAAAAATACAAAAATTAGCCAGGTGTGGTGGTGGGTGCCTGTAATCCCAGTTACTCAGGAGGCTGAGACAGGAGAACTGCATGAACCCAGGAGATGGAGGTTGCAGTGAGCCAAGACCGTGCCACTGCACTGGGTGACAGAGCAAGACTCAGTCTCAAAAAAAAAAAAAAAAAAAAAAATTAGCTGAGCATGGTGGTGGGCTCCTGTAATGTCAACTGTTCAGCAGGCCGAGGCAGGAGAATCACTTAAACCCAGGAGGCAGAAGTTGCAATGAGCCAAGGTCATACCACTGCACTCCAGCCCAGGTGACAGTGAGACTCCATCTCACAAAAATAAGTAAAAATAAAAACACAAAGCAGAATTACATTACTAGAAAAAGGCTCAAAAATCATTTGACACCACTTACTTTTTTTTTTTTTTTGGCTACGGAGTCTCACTCAGTCGCCCAGGCTGGAGTGCAGTGGCGCAATCTCGGCTCACCACAACCTCTGCCTCCTGGGTTCCAGCGATTCTCCTGCCTCAGCCTCCCGAGTACCTGGGATTACAGGCGCCCACCACACCTGGCTAATTTTTGTATTTTTAGTAGAGACAAGGTTTCATCATGTTGGCCAGGCAGGTCACCAATTCCTGACTGACCTCAAGTGATCCACCCACCTTTGCCTCCCAGAGTGCTGGGATAACAGGTGTGAGCCACCGGGCCTGGCCTCCCCACTTTCACCTTTAATTTACGTAGAGCCCTTGCTTCCCAAGACTCAGTCTGTACACCACAACCCCAACTTAAGCACTGAAGATATGTGCTGTGAAGAGCTCCATATCTCTTGGGTACCACCACTAGACAAGCAGCTCAAAATGCAGGCCCAACTGATGCAGATTCACAAACACGCTGCAAGAAGTGAAACAAGAAAGCCAGCCATATTGGTGAATGTGACTGAACATGAATGTGAATGAGCGGCATTCATTCGACGAGTATGATACTTAATGACTGCATACCCCATAACAGGTCATATTCTAGAGATGTTGCAGTGAATAAAAGTTCCAGCTTACAGATATTTAAGCAGTATTACTTTAAGAGCGACAATAACCATTAGTCGAGTGCATACTATATCCCAGGCACTGGGCTTTAAGTGCTTTATGTTATTTCATTTCATTTCATCTTCTTAAGATCCTCACCTTCAGATAGAAGGTAATGCCAGGATTTTTTATGACAGCTTTATTGCACTAATTCACACACTCTTAACATTAGCCATTTTAAAAAGTACAACTCAGCAGCTTTCTGTATATTCTTAACGTTGTGCAACCATCACCACTCCCTAATTTCAGAACACTTTCATTACTTCAGAAAGCAGCCCTGCCCCATCAGTAGTCACTCCTTATTCTCTTCTCCCTCCAGCCCCCACCAATTACTAATCATTCTGCCTCTATAGATTTGCCTACTCTGGACACTTCTTATAAACAGAATCATACAGTTTTCTGCGACTGTTTTCTTTCACTTAGCATAATGTTTTCAAAGTTCATTCGTGTTGTACCACGTATCAATATTTCATTCCTATTTATAGCTAAATAACATTTCATTGTATGGTTATGCCACATTTTAGTCATATATATATATATATATATATATATATTAGTTAACGGATATTTGGCTTGTCTTCTACTTTTTGGCTACTATGAATAACGCTGCAGTAAAAGTCTGTATACATTGTGAGAGTGTATGTTTTCAGTTTTCCTGCGAAGTACCTGTGTGGTATCTATGTTCTATGTCTAAACAATCACTATCAGAAAAGATGCATGGAGCAACTGACAATTTGGATGCTGTCCTACTCTGCAACAGTCACGCCAGGCCCAGAGCCTCATTCTTAGTCTTATCCACCAAACTTTAAAGTAGATAAACAACAAATATAAATCTTCCAAGGTGAAAGACCAAAATGTGTACTTTGCCTTGTTTTCTAGAACTCTGGATCTAATTATATATTAAGGTATTTGTTCACTCACTTTCTGCCCTCTCTACTAGAAATTATTAGCTCAGTGAAGGAAAAGTTAAAATTGTTTGTTCAATGCCACATCCTCAGTGCTTAAAATATTGTCTGGCATAGATTAGATGCCCCATAAAAATGTGTTACATGGGCCAGGCTGATGGCTCACACCTGTAATCCCAGCGCTTTGGGAGGCCAAGGTGGGTGGATAACTTGTGGCCAGGAGTTTGAGGCCAGCCTGGGCAACACAGCGAAACTCTATCTCTACTAAAAATACAAAAAAATAGCCGAGTATGGTGATGCACATCCGTAATCCCAGCTACTTGGGAGGCTTAAGGCACAAGAACAGTTTGAACACAAGAGGCAGAGGTTGCAGTGATCCAAGATCACACCACTGAACTACAACCTGGGCGACAGAATAAGGCTCTGTTTCAAATAATTAAATTTACATTAAAAAATTTTTTAAATATGTTGCATGAATGAACACCCTGAAGATAAGAGAATCTTCTTTTACCTGGCAAAAATCAATCTGATTTTCTTGGAGAGTCATTACAGAACCATTATCTCAAGATTAAATATGGCCCAACCTCACCAGATAGGAAACTTTTGAAAAGAGATATGACACAAACAAAGTATGATCATAACTAGTTAAGATGGTCATATTAGGCCAGGCGCAGTGGCTCACACCTGTAATCCCAGCACGTTAGGAGGCCAAGGCAGGAGGATCACCTGAGGTCAGGAGGTTGAGACCAGCCTGGCCAACATGGGAAAACCCCGCCTCTATTAAAAATATAAAAATTCATCAAGTGTTTTGGTGCACACCTAATTCCAGCTACTAAGGCAGGAGAGCTTGAGCCCAAGAGGTGGAGGTTGCAGTGAGCCAAGATCATGCCAGCCTGGGTGACAGAGCAAGATTCCATCTCAAACAAACAGCAAAAAAAACCAAAAAACAGTCATATTCAGTTTCACAGCCCAGTCTTATTTCTGCAGCGTTTCAAAACATGAATAGAAGTGAACCAAGTTGGGGAGGGGAAATGAGAAGGAAACACCAACAGCAAATGTAGTGGAGGTGCGGGGCCATTTGGTATACCTGGAGGAACTTCTTGGAGAACTGACACTCAAAGAAAAGCACACCAGTAAGAGATGGTGCTCGATGGGCAGGATAAGGAGTGTGAACTTCGAGGAATTTGAAGTCGTTTTAGAAATGCTATTCCTAGAGCCAAGACCAGCTACTGAAATCGTAGGGACTAGTGCAAACTGAAAATGTACCTCTTGGAAAATGAAGAATTTCGAGATGACAACAGCAGAGCACTAAACTAAACGCAGAGCCTTATGTGCCTACAAAGGGTACAGGCCCACGGCAATGTGATACTTGGATGTAAGTGGCACGGTGGAAGCAAAGGAGACTATGATAATAATCCAAGCACAAGATGAAGGCCTGGATTAAAGCAGAAGCAGTGGAGAAAGACCTTCATGTGCCCCTTAAGAGAGAACCCTACGTTAATCAAACACAAGCAGTACAACCTCAAGTTTAAAATAACTCTGTGGAAGACTTCCAGAGGCATCTCACTCCAATTTACTACTTGAGAGATCTAAGTGCAGCACACTTTTCCAGCTATTCCTGCCAGCCTTGGCTCCTCTCCCAAGCAGGACAAGCAACATGTCCTCTAACCTAATACATAATCACACTTGTCCCACATATCTCAATATCCACCATGAAACCCAGAAAGATCCCCAGACAAAGCAAAATGACCTTAACATATCTGCATCTGAATGAAGACCTCCTGACAACAGCAAACTGCAATAAAACAACCCATCAGACTGAGGTCCATTTTGGAAAACTGGACCTTCATCTGCCCTTGTCAGTTTGCTTGGAAGAGAAAGCAGCATCATTAAATGCTGATGATAGCATGTTTGGACATACCTGCTCTAATTTCTCAAGTAGTATTCCAAAGAAAGGCTGTGGACACACATACATGGTCTCACACAGCTTCTGAATCCTGAGTGTGTTCACATACACACACATCACACAAATGATTCAGAAAGCACTAGGAAGGTCTCAAATAAATGTAGTAAATATAGGGTGCCCAAAATAGGCCAATAGCTTTGCCTTTTTCTTAAGTTTCACAACAAAACCAACAGATAAATCCATCACGTGTTTATCAGATTAAACAAAACACCAATAATTAAGGTGACATATAAAAAACTTCATGAAGGGAAAGATGAAGCATCAGATTACAAACATTATTTATAACAAAATTATGTGTTCATATAGAGAGAAAGACAGATGGATAGTATCATCCACAATGTTAAGTATATTAGAAGAAAATGTTCCACCCATCTTACAACAATATAAATCTTGTGGCAATTCATCTTAACAACCTATTCCATTCAATCACCACTAAATTCAAATAGATATAATCTTGGTAATCTTGAGAAATATACATTTTCAATTTCTAACTACATCAGATAATATATAAATTTTCAGAATTTAAGACTATATTAAACTGTGCATTTTAAGATAACACAAAACTGAAGACTATCTATTGTTGGTCATCTCTTCAAAATTCATGCTTCCAGGATATGGAAAGATATTTCGTCAGCCTCAATTCCTACATATTAAAAGTTGTCCACATTTACATCAATAGACTGAAATAGATCATTGTATTCAGGGTGGCATATATGCCAAAACAGTCAACTATTGAAAGAGTAGGATGTTGGACTTACATTCTGCATTATCTTAAGGCTAGTTAAAAAGAAAATACCTCAGCTGGGCACGGTGGTTCACGCCTGTAATCCCAGCACTTTGGGAGGCTGAGGCCAGCAGATCAGGAGGTCAGGAGTTTGAGACCAGCCTGTTCAACATAGTGAAACCCTGTCTCTACTAAAAATATAAAAATTAGCCACGCATGGTGGCGGGCACCTATAGTCCCAGCTACTCAGGAGGCTGAGGCAGGAAAATTGCTTAAACCCAGGAGGAAGAGGTTGCAATGAGCCGAGATTGTGCCACTTCACACCAGCCTGGGCAACAGAGTGAGACCATGTCTCAAAAAAAAAAAGGAAAAAAAAAAAAAGAAAATACCTCTGAGTACAAGAGCCAATAAGCAGATGACATTTCTTTAGAAAAACCTTAAGAACACAAATACGCACACAGATATTTATATAGCACAAAATCCATTCTACAGCAATCCTAAATACTCTGGACAGTCAGCATAAACACTGCAGGGACTGAATGACTCTCAAAAAGGAGTAAACGTTGGCCAGGCACAGTGGCTCACACCTGTAATCCCAGCACTTTGGGAGGCAGAGATTGGGTGAATTTCCTAAGCTCAGGAGTTCAAAATCAGACTAGCCAACATGGCAAAACCCCTAAAAAATATACAAAATTAGCTGGACATGATGGTGCACACCTGCAGTCCCAGCTGCTCTGGAGGCTGGGACATGAGAATCACTTGAACCCAGGAGGCAGAGGCTGTAGTGAACCGAGATCACGCCACTTCCCTCCAGCTTGGGCGATAGAGCAAGACTCTGCCTCAAAAAAAAAAAAAAAAAAAAAAAAAAAAAGGATCCAAAAAGCAAAAGGGGGGTTTTGGTCTTTAAATGAGAAGGAAAAAAAAGTACACTGTTCCCTTTGAGAATATAGGGTATGGTTAGTTTTGTGGTTTGAATACTCTTTAAATCCACTAAATACTCATTCAGCTGATATTTATTAAGAATCTATGTGCCAGGCCCTCTATCAATTTAGCATGAGGCCTGTTGCAGAGCTAAGAGTCTTAAACACCAGGATTGGGTACTGCTAATCCACCAAAAGCTTTCAAAAGCAAAAGTTTATGGAATTTTACTCTGTGTCAGGCAGAAAAATTAAACAGCCAGTAGTTATCACAAGGTATAGAGGCTCTTACGCTGCCAATAAAGTTCTACATAAATACATTGTGAAATAGGAATAGGCTATAGGTCACAAACTGAATGAAAGCATTCAGTCAAACATTCAATCTGCCAGCCAATTCACCTTTCACTACTGAAGAAGTTATCTCTAAAATACTAGTCCAGGGTTATAGAAAGCCAACCAGGTTACCTTAGTTTCTGGACACTGGAGACAAGAAGATTTGTTTTAATAAAAGTGGTGATTAACATCACAAAATAATGGACTTTAGTTAGGTAAAATCCATCAACTGGAATGAAAATTCTCTCAGGATCAAATCTCAACCACTAATACTTCAAGCAAAAGCAACTGAGGTTTGTTTTTTTTCTTTTATCTCAATGTCTTCTCTCTTTGTCACATGCTTTTCTTCAATAAGTAACCCAGGCAGGGCCGACAATGACAAGTGTGTTTTGTGACACGGGAAAACAAAAGTAC